CGTTTAAGCTTAGCTGCGCTCAGAAAGAAATCTGTCAAGTTTACAATACCTTTGTAATGAGGTAGCATAAACTTAAATCTCACTATGCAACTGTCAGAAGACCGTTCGGAATTGCAATGGCTTGAAGCAGTTTTGCATGAGCTTAGTATAGGACATTGGGGCATTGCTGGCGGCAGAAAATCTTACATACCCCTTAAGCCCTTGAACCCTAAACCCTCCTTGCCTTTGGGCGGCTGGAAGCTGCAGGTCCTTGGAACTCACGCTGGTGCTTCAGCGGGGAGTTAGGCTTTTGATGTGGTAAGGGGTCAAGGGCTTGAGGGGGTAGGGTGGTTCTTGCGTGGGGCTTCTGTAGAGCGGACCAATCCCGAAACCCCTAAACCCTGAAAACCTGAACTGCGAAAACGTAAACTCCAAAATGCCTAACCCTACACGTTCTCCTAACCCTGCCTTCCACAAAACCCAACATCCTAAAGCCCCGCAAGTGGGTAGAATGCTCACGGCATTGGCCCAACAATGTCAACACCAAGGGCTTAAGGGGCTTTAGGGTTTCAGGGGGCTTCGGGAGTTTCAGGAGGGTTTTGGGGCTTGGGAAACCCTGCCACAAGATTGGCAAAACAAACAGCTGAAGCGGAGCTTCGCATTTTGCTGGTTGGGGTCCCTATGCTCCTGGAGTGAGTGAGAGTTGAGGGCTTGGGTTGTGACAAACAGCGAGCCCTCAGGGGACACTTGTCATCCCTCCTCAGGTGTTCAGGAATCCCAGGATCCCTCCAAGCCCTGATTCTGAGACTCGGACCAAAAGACTGCGGGTGTTATCCCGCTGCTTTCGAAGGGAACCACCTGTGCAAACTCGAATTTGTTGAGGGCTCAGGGGGCTGATGAGGCTTTAGGAAGATGTTGGTTTCTGTGCCATGGCATGCAGGTGCCAAGGTGACAGAAGCGAAAAAACCCGCGAGGTCTGCACAAGCCAGCACCGAACGGCTGGCAGCCAACTTCTAAACAACGATAACAATCTCTCCAGGAGTAATCTGTGACCCTCAAACCCCAAACCCACAAAACCCCCAAGCCCATACCCACCCCGAAAGGGGCTCAGCCCACCTGCACCACCGTCCCCTCCTGGTCCTGAGGGCTCGTATTGGGAGCTTTCCCAACAATCGCCACGTTCAACTTATTTGGCAAAGCAGCAACATCCATATGCGAGGCCTGTGCAGAAACCTAAAACTTCACAGTTTAGGGTTTAGGGTTTAGGGTTTAGGGTTCGGCGTCTTTGCTGCAGCATGGTGCAGCGGGGACAACCCTGAGGTCCTTGGCATAGAGAAGCTCCAGGAAGTCCTTTGAGCTCCGACGTAGTGGCTTCCGGCTGCATTGTTGGGTTTTCTATTGGGGTTGCGCTGGCAAGAACAAGGTCTGAAAAAGTAGTTCCTTCTTGACTTCATTTATGGTTTCCCTATTCGGACCCACAAAGGAACTAGATCGAGCCCACCTCTGCTGGTGGAAGCTCAATCATCGACCCGCAGGAAAAGGCCGTTCCGAAGAAATCTCTGCAAGAACCCTCAAAAAGACCGATGAGCCCGTCCATGTGCATAGAGTTTTCTTTTATAGGGTTTTTAGTCCAGGGTTCGTCTTGATCAGCCCTAGGCCCATCTCAAGGCCAGCCCATGAGCCTGGAAGAGAGCGCCCCCTTTCCCCATACTCCCGAGGAAATCCTTGCACCGAACGCCTCCTTGAGCCCTGTCACGACCTTTCAAGCCATTTATACGCCCAATCCTCCAGATGAACAACAAAACTCTCTTCTTCCCTCGAAGTCCCCGCCCAGAACATATGTGTCAAGCGAGCCAGCACGGCATACTCCGTTCCAGGAGCCGGGCACCTCGGCAAAAGCCCACAGCTCGGGCTCAGGGTTTCAGAACTTACAGGGTTTTGGGTGCAGCCCGTGATTTCCGTGTACAGGGCCTACAGTACAGGGCATCAGGCGCCTCCGGTGGACATAGTCGTTCGGAGAATTGCTTTTGATGGTCGGAAGTTAGCATTGTAAGAGCTTTCGCAGCTACTTTGGCGACCTTTCGCAGGGCCTATGCTTGCCTGACGCGATGCCAATGCCATTCCTTGTAACGCAATGGTGTCAGCGATATAGGGTTCTGGTGGCACGTTGGCTGTTGGAGGTACGCCTTCTGCCAACCAATGGACAAATCTTTCGTGCATTCTTTATCCATACTTTCGCGAGACTGGTTCAGAAACTCACGAAACCCCTGGATCTTACCTGCCCAACGGTGGTTTAGCTCGGCATGGCATGACGTGAGCGATGACTGTGCAGCTTGAGCAACACTGGAGTTGCCTCCGCGACAGGAAGTCAAGAGCAACCACAGAGCAAAACGTCAGAATCGCGATAAGGACAAAGTCTTCCGCTCTATCTTTCGCCGGTCTTTCGCAAACCGCCCAAACGGCTATAAATGTGAGTGTTGTGCTTTGGCAACAACCCTCATGTGGGGATTTGGAATCAAATTCACAGAGTCAGGGTGCCCTGTGCCTTTGCTCTTGAGCATTTGTGTCCCAGAGCCGCTCAGGTGGCTCGGGCTCAAGCCTACATACTCCTGAGCCCGACATCCTGACACTGTAGGAACTGTCGAGTCCTTCGAGTGCACATGATACGCCACAGTGACAGAGTGACAGACTGTGGGCCCGAAGAGCCGAGACTGCAGTACATGGGTCGTCCCATAACGCCCCTCTCCCAGTCAACCCTAAACCCCTCAAGCCCTCAACGCCCCTAAACAACCCCTAAACAGCCTCCAAACAATCCGAAAAGCTCTAAACGGCGAATGCCAGTGGGAGCACTGAGGTGGCGGCACGCCTGGAACCTCGCCTTCGGAGAGGCCTGTGGGACAGCTAGTGGTTGCGGGACTGGAAGGATTCATCTCAGGAATCCTGAATCCCACTGAACTTAACCGTACCGCTCCAAGACCCGAACCTTCTACTTTAGAGTGAAGGCTCTGCAGGGCCATGTTAAAACAGGGCATCCAACACGCTCCTGCGTAGCCCACGCAGAGGGTGACCTGGGCAAAGCGTGTCAAGTCTGCAGCCCATTCAAACACCGAACAGAACGGGAAGCTTTTGGCGATGGCAGCTGCAAAGTGCAGCAGCACTTTGCCGAGATTGGAAATGTGTTTCTGCTACTCTTTACTCCGGCATACTCCTGCTGCAGTCCATGTCATGCTCACTTCCGCATCATCTTCACATCGGTTGCGTCTCGATCCCTAGAACCGCTGTGCCATGAAGAGCGCAGCGAGGTGAACATGCAACATGGAACCTGGCAGACGCAACGAGCCTGCAAGCAAACAACTGCCAGGAGTCATGACTCCCTTTGAGCGCAGAGACCTGAACCCTCCCTAGACTCTAAACCCTCTTCAGCGTCTCCTGGGCTACCGTGCCGTGTCAGGGCGGCCCGTGGCATAAATGGCTGGTACCACGAGCTCCTCCTGCGGAGGTTTGTTGGGCGCTTGAACCCCTCCGCCCAGATCAAACCTCGAGCCCCTAAGCCCCAAACCCTCCACAACCTAAGCTCTAACCCTTTAGTGCTTTTGGGGGTTCTGAGGGCCAACCAACACCTGCTCCCTGTTCAAACTTAAGCCCTTGAAACCTGAAGCCGAAGACCCTGACGCCTAAGGTTTAGGGCTTAGGGACCCCTAAGCCCTGCCAAGTCCTGGCCCTTCCACTCGCCAGGCTTCACCTGGCAGGCCAGGGCCATGGGTTTTGGGGTTCAATACGCTTGAAGGTTTAGGGCTTTAGGAGGGGTGATCAGGTTTTGAGGACTTCGGGGGTTGTGGAGGTTTGTAGATTTCAGGGGTTGAGGGTTGAGGGTAACGCAGGTTGATGTCCTGCAAAGGTTTTGGGGTGGTTTAGGGAGTTCAGGGGTTTGAGGTTGTTGGGAGGGTCTAGGCTTATAGGGGCCTAAGTTCAAGGCTTTGAGGGGCTTCAGGTTCAAAAGCACCGCTGGCAAAACCCCCAATAGTCCCGGCCCATCCGTAGCCCCAAAACCCTGCAAGTAACTCAACATGCACGCACGCACACGCACACGCACACGCACACGCACACGCACACGCACACGCACACGCACACGCACACGCACACGCACACGCACACGCACACGCACACGCAGACACCTACACACCTACACACCTACACACCTACACACCTACACACCTACACACCTACACACCTACACACCTACACACCTACACACCTACACACCTACACACCTACGCACCTACACACCTACACACCTACACACCTACACACCTACACACCTACACACCTACACACCTACACACCTACACCAAAGACTATGCCCGCCGCCCGCGTTCGTGCCGCGGTGCTCTACGTGATATCCGTAAACGGTTGGGGGGGGATTTCAGGCTAAATGCTCATTGTAAACCCGGGATTGATTGAAAAGATCAAAGATGGCCGCAAAGAGATGTTTCGTAGTGTCTTCAGATGGCTTGCAGCTTTTGCTGTGGTAATGATCGTTTCATGACTCCGGATTCCGGACCAATGCGCCATTAAGCCGAAAGAGTTTAGCGTCCACTCACGTGACCAGGCCTTTTTGGAACTGCGCGTTGCCCAACATACACCCACCCCCTGCTTGGCAGGGGTTGTGCGACCGAATGCAGGCCGGCAAGCTCTCTCGGTTTCCTCAAGAGATGTCCCAAGCCGTCTTGCTCAGCGAGTAGGAAACCAAGATCACTCCCAAACGCATGTCCTGGTTTGAGCAGTCTGAGATTTCAGGAGGCCCTCTGGCCAAGCTCAAGCTGCCCCAACAAAGAAACGCATTCGCGCGGGCGCTGCCCACCCGTCTTGGACAGGCGAGCGGCGCAAACGTTTGAACCCCCCAGCGGGCCCACGTACTCCCTATAGACTCCCTAAAGACCTACAAAGCCGACCCTCTAAACCCTTAGACCATCCCCTTCTGACCCTGCCTGAAACGAGTCTCTAAAATTTCTCGGGATGGCTCAGTCCTCGTCGTCATAGCCGCGCTGAAACGAGAAGCTGTGGGTTAAAGGTCTGGACTTCGAGGCTTTAAGGGGCTAAGTTATTAAAAGGGGTTTAGGGTTTAGGGTTTAGGGTTTAGGGTTTAGGGTTTAGGAAAGGCCTTTAAATCCTGAACCCTTAAAGGAAAACAAGTTTCAGGGCTGTTGGCTGCAGCCGTTGGCTGTTTGGGATGTTGGAAGGGCTACTCTTCAGCCTCTCAAGCATTCCTCTGTTGCGTTCTCCCCAAAAAGTCTAAAGACTAAACCTGAGACCCTATGGCAAGCCCTGAAGCCTTCTATTCTAATTAGACCCAAGCCCAGGCTGAACAAACAAACCGCACAACACCTGGACATTTACAAGCGCACAGACAGAAAGAGAGAGAGAGAGAGAGAGAGAAAGAGGGAGCGAGAGAGAGAGAGAGAGAGAGAGCAAGAGAGAAGGAAAGAGAGAGAGAGAGAGAGAGAGCGAGGCAGGAAGGGGCCTGGAAGAACAAGCCACTGAATGAGGGCTTGCTGTGGGGCTCTTTGGGGTTTGGAGGGTGTGAGGGCTGTTGGGTAAACCCCGTGGTCTTCTTACCCAAAGAGCCTCTGAAGCCCCCAGCTTTCCCTGACAGCCAATACCGCCATATGCCTCCCAAAGAGTCAAATTGCAAGGTCTTTCAGAAATGCCGCAACCCTGGTGGCGAACCCCGACCTTGCGAAAGAGCTCGGCCCAGCAAGTTGTGTTGTTCACCTTCCGCGATGCACGCCATAATTTCCTAAGCCTTATAACTCCTGAAGCTGCGGAGCCCTTGCTCTTGCCACAGAGGCCTTTAATATAAGACATTGAACAGGATGGCATCGGCATCTTGTGCTTTATAGGGACTTGTATTTCTGGCCTTTCGGGCTTGGGAACTGAAGGCTTTCTAGACCTGCTTTCAAGCTTTCTGTGTTGAGGCTCGCGAGGGGGGGGGTTAGCAGATAGACTCCACGTGCCCCCGAAGGCATGCTGCCGCTTTCAGTGTTTGCGGGATCTTGGCGTCGAGTGCCTTGTTCCCTTGACCTCAAGGAATATAAACTTCCAGCACCCAACTTCCGTCACCATAAGCCCTAAACGAAACACTTAGAACCCTAAACCCCCAACAAGCCGCAATTCTGAGTCCCTGCTCCTCCTCGGCGGGCTTCTTGCCGCTGTCGCCTCACAGGGCATCGAAGGTTTGTAGGGGTAAGGTTTTTGGGTTGATTAGGGTTTACGAAGGGTTTGAAGAGGGTTCATGGGGGCTCACAGGAGTATCGGGTTTCTGGAGCATAGGGGCTGCTGGGTTAGGGTTTCGGGCTGTTCGGTTCTCAGCGTAGCTCGAGGGTTGGGTTGAAGGGTTCGAGGCTCAAGGATTGTGGCTTGCAAGTGGTCGAGTTCTAAGTAATGGTCCGATTTTGAGCACCTCTTGGGTACCGTAAACCCGGCGGGCCTTGGCCATTTTGGGGTGCTTGGATTCTGGGGCCTTTGGCCGAGAGGCTTAGGGAAATCACAGGGGTTGGGGTTTCGGGTTTCCGGGATGTTTAGGAGTTCTTCGTGTTCGAGACCCGTGGGATGACCTCGACTTCGCACGACTTTCGGGCATCAAGTTCGAGGGTCCTAGCCGTTCTAGCCGGGGGCAGAGCCTTCGTATCCTGTCGAGGCTAGATGGGGCAAGTTCAGCTCCATAACCCTCTTACCCCCCGAGGCCCCGAAGCCCTCCATCCCGAACTCGGGCCCCGCCTCCCTCCGCCTCCTCCTCCCCTTCGGCTCGCCTCCCGATGTGCCTGCAGCGCGCGGAAGACTAGCGCGTTTTGGAGGTTCAGAGGTTCAGAGGTTTGGGGTTGGGGAGTGTCAGCTTCAAAAAACATTCGTGGGCTTGAAGGCTAGTATGGGGATTCTTCGGGGCTGGGGGCAGATTAGGATAGGATGGACTCTGGTTTGGGTGGTCTCAGTTGAGCGACATCTTGAGGTTCTTCTCATCACCACAGTGGTTTGGGGCTCGGCGTTTGTTTGGTTTGCCGGCTGCACTTATCGGTTGCGCCCGGGGCCTCAGAAGAGCGTCCGCCTCCAGGATGTAGGGAGCGATCGGCCGGCCAAAGAGGTTGACATCTCGGAGTGGGGCGCGGCAGGCAGTGCGGGGTATAAGAACCCTCAACCCCACACCCTATAAGGCCCTAAACCCTGAACCCCCCAAACCCGATAAAACCCTACAGCGCTCGAACCTCTGAGTCTCTGCCGGGCCGCGCGTGTGACTGTGCCAGGCTAGAGGGTAGATGGGGCGGCGGCGGTTGAACTCGAAGAAGCTCCTCAATGGAGAGAGCATACACGGCACGGCTTTGTTAAAAAAAGCTTCAGGATCCAATCGGGGCGGAGAAAACAGTTCGCAAGACCACTGCTGGGGTCGTGCAGTAGTTTGGGACTTTAAGTGGCTCAGAGTTGCTGCCTGCGTTTGCGGCCTTGCACTCCAATAGCCCTAATGTCCGCACTTTGGGGTACAGCCCTTGTTGCTTGAGCACTGTCAAGTCGTTAACTTGGACTCCCTTGCCTCGGAAAGAAAAAAGTAAGGAGGTCCGAAATTGGAACAACCGGAACAGCCGCCTGACAAATGTGAGTTGGCGATGCCAACGCTGTTGTGGTGGGCTGTTAGGCCTGGTAGGCACTTCAGGTGTCTTGGGAAGAGCTCCCTTGAACAAACCTTAACACTCCAAACTTTAGACCCTGAACCAACCCCAAGTCCCGAAATCCAAAACCGCTAAGCAGCTGCAAACAGAACCTCCACGCCTTTAGAACCCGCAGCCCCAGGTCGGCCTGACAAACTTATCAAGGCCCTTTGTTTGGAACATCGAAATCCTACACCCTGACAAAAAAAAACGCGGGTACACAAACCGAGTCGCACGAAGTCCAGGAGGCTGCCGGCACAGCGCAGCCCAAGGCGCTTCTTGAGCCTACTTGCTTTCGGCCAGAAGAAATCTAGAAGGGGCTTTAGGGTAATTATTGGGTTTGGGGTTTGGGGTTACGTCTCTCCCAAAGGAACATGGGAACATGAAAATTCTTGGCCAGCTCAATGCAGAACTGTGGGTGTGGGGTTTCCCCGGCCTCGCGCCCTCAGACAATCCTAAACTTCAATCTGCGGCAAGCCCCAAAGTCCGAGACGCTGCCGCAACCCAAAGTCCCCTGCTTCTAGGGGTCGTTGTGGGCTCAGGTTTTGGGGCAGTGTTGAAGGCTTAGGAGCAGTGTCAGGCAAGTCAGGTAGGCGCCAGGTAGCCCAAATGCTGTGCTAAGGGTAACGTTGTGTGTAAGGTTAAATGTTAGGCCGCTTCCAGAGGACGCTATTGCTGTTGATGCTGCGGTGTCAATGCAGGCAGGATGGATTCAGGATTTCTTCCTGTTTGCAACCCAAGGCTTAACAGGGGCCTTCTACTGCTTACAAATGCTCTGGACAGTATTTCGCGCAAATCTGAGGAGGCCTCTTTACAAGAGCTGAAAGGAAGATGCACAAGCAACTCCAAGAACGAAACACATTACGAACATGATGCACTCAGAGGCAGGGGGTAGATACATGTCGACTATCAGGAGAAGCACTCAAATACAAGATTAAAGACAGACCTCATAAAGTTTAAGGTCCCAACCAGGTCTGAGCCCGGAGTGCAGCTCGAGGGTTTAGAAGGGTTATAGGGTTGTGGGGTTGTAGGGGCTTGGAGTTAAAGGTTTCCGAGTTTTTGGGTTTCAGGGAGGTTGAGGGGCTTTGCAGCACAAGCAGCGCGGCCGCGACGCGGCAAAAGTTCGGGGGGAAGGCTGCCGGCGTCTTGAACACGTTCGACCCGCACTTGACTGTGTCCTGACGCTATATACCCTGAACACTATGAACCCTATAGACCCGAAACCCCAAGCCCTAAACAGCGAACCCTGAACCCCCACCCAAACCCAATGCCAGGCTTTGGGCTGGGGGGGCGCGTTGTGGTTGATTGTGTGGGAAAGCCAATTGCCGCGTCAATCACCAGGTTCGAATCTCTAAAAAAAAGTACAGCTGCAACAGAGGGGGGCGGGCACGGGAGGGGGGGGTACCTCACACGAAGCATTCCATCAGTTCTGCCCTCAAAGAACCTGAAAGTCAGCCTCAAAACCCTCTGGCAACAAAGGTGGAAGATCTCAATTCAGCCGCGGAAGCCCGAATCCTCGACCTTAAGAACGCCAAACCTGAAAACAAACAGCCCGCCTCACCAACTAGGCTCAACTAGCCCTCCCCTGCTGGATGGGTGTCGTACCACGTCTTCACCTCCGCCAAACCTTCCAGACGCTGCTTCAACACCGGGGACCTTGGTCAAGATTTAATGGCTTTACGTTGCGTGGGTTGTGGGGGGGAATACGGCATAGCGGCCATTCTGAGCTGAGTTGCGTGTGCAGCTTGCAGGGAGTTGCACAGTTCATGCAGATTCGAAAGCTTTCTCATCTTGCTCGGTGTGTCATTTGCTGCAGAGATTTCCCGGATTGCAAGGAGACCCATGCAACGCTTAGGGCTATGACCGCTCCAAAGACAGCCCACAAGTGCCCTCCCCTCCTTGTTGAGGCTCGACCCCCCCCCCCCTTTTCAAACCCTTTAGAACCAGAATCCTGAACCCTTAGCCAGACCCTGTCAAAAAAATCGCTGCAGGTCTCTTGGTGATCCTCACCGGCTCTGTCTTGACAAATCTGATGCCGTGCCTCGGGCCAAGAAGAAATCACGGAGTCAAGTTCGGCTCAAGGTGAAATCATCGTGTCAAGTTGCGCCCAAGAAGGGCCCTCCGGTGAAATCATGGTGTCAAGTTGAGCCCAAGAAGGCCCTTCCGGCGAAATCACGGTGTCAAGTTGGGCCCAAGAAGGCCCCTTCGGCGAAATCACGGTGTCAAGTTGGGCACATTAAGGCCCTTCCGGCGAAATCATGGTGTCAAGTTGGGCCCAAGAAGGCACCTCCGGCGAAATCATGGTGTCAAGTTGGGCCCAAGAAGGCCCCTCCGGCGAAATCATGGTGTCAAGTTGGGCCCAAGAAGGCCCTTCCGGCGAAATCATGGTGTCAAGTTGAGCCCAAGAAGGCACCTCCGGCGAAATCATGGTGTCAAGTTGGGCCCAAGAAGGCCCCTCCGGCGAAATCATGGTGTTAAGTTGGGCCCAAGAAGGCCCCTCCGGCGAAATCATGGTGTCAAGTTGGGCCCAAGAAGGCCCCTCCTGCGAAATCATGGTGTGAAGTTGGGCCCAAGAAGGCCCCTTCCGGCGAAATCATGGTGTCAAGTTGGGCCCAAGAAGGCCCCCTCCGGCGAAATCATGGTGTCAAGTTGGGCCCAAAAAGGCCCCTCCGGCGAAATCATGGTGTCAAGTTGGGCCCAAGAAGGCCCCTCCGGCGAAATCATGGTGTCAAGTTGGGCCCAAGAAGGCCCCTCCGGCGAAATCATGGTGTCAAGTTGAGCCCAAGAAGGCACCTCCGGCGAAATCATGGTGTCAAGTTGGGCCCAAAAAGACCCCTCCGGCGAAATCATGGTGTCAAGTTGGGCCCAAGAAGGCCCCTCCGGCGAAATCATGGTTGGGCCCAAGAAGGCCCCTCCGGCGAAATCATGGTGTCAAGTTGAGGCCAAAAGGCTCCTCCGGCGAAATCATGGTGTCAAGTTGGGCCCAAGAAGGCCCTTCCGGCGAAATCATGGTGTCAAGTTGAGCCCAAGAAGGCACCTCCGGCGAAATCATGGTGTCAAGTTAAGAAGGCCCCTCCCGCGAAATCATGGTGTCAAGTTGGGCCCAAGAAGGCCCCTCCGGCGAAATCATGGTGTCAAGTTGGGCCCAAGAAGGCCCCTCCTGCGAAATCATGGTGTGAAGTTGGGCCCAAGAAGGCCCCTTCCGGCGAAATCATGGTGTCAAGTTGGGCCCAAGAAGGCCCCCTCCGGCGAAATCATGGTGTCAAGTAGGGCCCAAAAAGGCCCCTCCGGCGAAATCATGGTGTCAAGTTGGGCCCAAGAAGGCCCCTCCGGCGAAATCATGGTGTCAAGTTGGGCCCAAGAAGGCCCCTCCGGCGAAATCATGGTGTCAAGTTGGGCCCAAGAAGGCTCCTCCGGCGAAATCATGGTGTCAAGTTGGGCCCAAGAAGGCCCCTCCGGCGAAATCATGGTGTCAAGTTGGGCCCAAGAAGGCCCCTCCGGCGAAATCATGGTGTCAAGTTGGGCCAAGAAGGCCCCTCTCGGCGAAATCATGGTGTCAAGTTGGGCCCAAGAAGGCACCTCCGGCGAAATCATGGTGTCAAGTTGGGCCCAAGAAGGCCCCTCCGGCGAAATCATGGTGTGAAGTTGGGCCCAAGAAGGCCCCCTCCGGCGAAATCATGGTGTCAAGTTTAGCCCAAGAAGGCACCTCCGGCGAAATCATGGTGTCAAGTTGAGCCCAAGAAGGCCTCTCCGGCGAAATCATGGTGTCAAGTTGGCCCAAGAAGGCCCCTCCGGCGAATTCATGGTGTCAAGCTGGGCCCAAGAAGGCCCCTCCGGCGAAATCATGGCGTCAAGTTGAGCCCAAGAAGGCCCGTCCGGCGAAATCATGGTGTCAAGTTGAGCCCAAGAAGGCCCCTCCGGCGAAATCATGGTGTCAAGAAGGCCTCTCCGGCGAAATCATGGTGTCAAGTTGGGCCCAAGAAGGCCCCTCCGGCGAAATCACGGTGTCAAGTTGGGCCCAAGAAGGCGCCTCCGGCGAAATCATGGTGTCAAGTTGAGGCCAAGAAGGCACCTCCGGCGAAATCATGGTGTCAAGTTGGGCCCAAGAAGGCCCCTCCGGCGAAATCATGGTGTCAAGTTGAGCCCAAGAAGGCACCTCCGGCGAAATCATGGTGTCAAGTTGGGCCCAAGAAGGCCCCTCCGGCGAAGTCATGGTGTCAAGTTGGGCCCAAGAAGGCCCCTCCGGCGAAATCATGGTGTCAAGTTGGGCCCAAGAAGGCCCCTCCTGCGAAATCATGGTGTGAAGTTGGGCCCAAGAAGGCCCCTTCCGGCGAAATCATGGTGTCAAGTTGGGCCCAAGAAGGCCCCTCTGGCAAAATCATGGTGTCAAGTTGGGCTGAAGAAGGCCCCTCCGGCGAAATCATGGTGTCAAGTTGGCCCAAGAAGGCCCCTTCCGGCGAAATCATGGTGTCAAGTTGGGCCCAAGAAGGCCCGTCCGGCGAAATCATGGTGTCAAGTTGCCCAAGAAGGCCCCTCCGGCGAAATCATGGTGTCAAGTTGGGCCCAAGAAGGCCCCTCCGGCGAAATCATGGTGTCAAGTTGGGCCCAACGGCGAAATCATGGTGTCAAGTTTAGCCCAAGAAGGCACCTCCGGCGAAATCATGGTGTCAAGTTGAGCCCAAGAAGGCTCCTCCGGCGAAATCATGGTCAAGAAGGCCCCTCCGGCGAAATCACGGTGTCAAGTTGGGCCCAAGAAGGCGCCTCCGGCGAAATCATGGTGTCAAGTTGAGGCCAAGAAGGCACCTCCGGCGAAATCATGGTGTCAAGTTGGGCCCAAGAAGGCCCCTCCGGCGAAATCATGGTGTCAAGTTGAGCCCAAGAAGGCACCTCCGGCGAAATCATGGTGTCAAGTTGGGCCCAAGAAGGCCCCTCCTGCGAAATCATGGTGTGAAGTTGGGCCCAAGAAGGCCCCTCCGGCGAAATCATGGTGTCAAGTTGGGCCCAACGGCGAAATCATAGCCCAAGAAGGCACCTCCGGCAAAATCATGGTGTCAAGTTGAGCCCAAGAAGGCTCCTCCGGCGAAATCATGGTGTCAAGTTGGGCCCAAGAAGACCCCTCCGACGAAATCATGGTGTCAAGTTGGGCCCAAGAAGGCCCTTCCGGCGAAATCATGGTGTCAAGTTGAGCCCAAGAAGGCACCTCCGGCGAAATCATGGTGTCAAGTTGGGCCCAAGAAGGCCTCTTCCGGCGAATTCATGGTGTCAAGCTGGGCCCAAGAAGGCCCCTCCGGCGAAATCATGGTGTCAAGTTGAGCCCAAGAAGGCCCGTCCGGCGAAATCATGGTGTCAAGTTGAGCCCAAGAAGGCCCCTCCGGCGAAATCACGGTGTCAAGAAGGCCCCTCCGGCGAAATCATGGTGTCAAGTTGGGCCCAAGAAGGCGCCTCCGGCGAAATCATGGTGTCAAGTTGAGCCCAAGAAGGCACCTCCGGCGAAATCATGGTGTCAAGTTGGGCCCAAGAAGGCACCTCCGGCGAAATCATGGTGTCAAGTTGGCCCAAGAAGGCCCCTCCGGCGAATTCATGGTGTCAAGCTGGGCCCAAGAAGGCCCCTCCGGCGAAATCACGGTGTCAAGTTGAGCCCAAGAAGGCCCCTCCGGCGAAATCATGGTGTCAAGTTGAGGCCCCTCCGGCGAAATCATGGTGTCAAGTTGGGCCCAAGAACCTCCGAGAAGGCCTAGCGAAATCATGGTGTCAAGTTGGGCCCAAGAAGGCCCCTCCGGCGAATTCATGGGGCCAAGGCTCCTCCGGCGAAATCATGGTGTCAAGTTGACAAGAAGGCCCCTCCGGCGAAATCATGGTGTCAAGAAGGCCCCTCCGGCGAAATCATGGTGTCAAGTTGGGCCCAAGAAGGCCCGTCCGGCGAAATCATGGTGTCAAGAAGGAGGCGGCGAAATCATGGTGTCAAGTTGGGCCCAAGAAGACCCCACCGACGAAATCATGGTGTCAAGTTGGGCCCAAGAAGGCCCCTCCGGCGAAATCATGGTGTCAAGTTGGGCCCAAGAAGGCCTCTCCGGCGAAATCATGGTGTCAAGTTGGGCCCACGAAGGCCCCTCCGGCGAATCATGGTGTCAAGTTGGGCCCAAGAAGGCCCCTCCGGCGAAATCATGGTGTCAAGTTGAGCCAAGAAGGCTCCTCCGGCGAAATCACGGTGTCAAGTTGGGCCCAAGAAGGCCCGTCCGGCGAAATCATGGTGTCAAGTTGAGCCCAAGAAGGCCCCTCCGGCGAAATCATGGTGTCAAGTTGGGCCCAAGACGCACATTTGAATAAACCCACACATGATGCTGCACGCCCATTTGTTTGCGGCACACCAGGATCACCAGTTGTTCTGGCCCCTCCGGCGAAATCATGGTGTCAAGTTGGGCCCAAGTAGGCCCGTCCGGCGAAATCATGGTGTTAAGCCCAAGAAAGCCCCTCCGGCGAAATCATGGTGTCAAGTTGGGCCCAACAAGCCCCTCCGGCGAAATCAAGGTGTCAAGTTGGGCCCAAGAAGGCCCCTCCGGCGAAATCATGGTGTCAAGTTGGGCCCAAGAAGGCCCCTCCGGCGAAATCATGGTGTCAAGTAGGCCCCTCCGGCGAAATCATGGTGTCAAGTTGGGCCCAAAAAAGCCCTCCCGCGAAATCATGGTGTCAAGTTGGGCCCAAGAAGGCCCCTCCGGCGAAATCATGGTGTCAAGTTGGGCCCAAGAAGCAAAATCATGGTTTCAAGTT